CTGCTGATAATTTTTCATCTCATCATGCATCACCTCTTTCCATAGGTATATGTTAATATGCATTCCCACTACATATTATATCATGATGCTTGGGCATATGGCTGTGTAACTATTAGCCATCAGTTGTGTAAAGGCCAACGCAGCATTTTCCTCCTCAGAAGTCGGAACCAACCTCTGTGATTCACCTGTGACTCTTCTGGGTCGGGAAACCAGAATCTTACACTGATTCCCGAATCTCCCAGTTGCATGGAAAATGTAGCATTGCAGCTATCACCAGCATGAGCTCAATCAATTCATCCCATTTCTGAACACTAATTAAAAAAGAGAAAGGTAATTACAGAATGAACAGAGATGATGTTACTTACACCATATAGCTCTGTGCGAATTCTAACAAAACACCTCCTGTACCAAGTTCCTGTATCGCTCTCTATTTCTATGAGCTCATCTATCTGCTTCGGAGTTTTGATTCTGTTAACCTAGAAATAAAAACAGAACAGCAAATATTTGCATTTTCTTGAATCATTAACTGCCTATTGAGGAGTATTAGAAGGTTTTAATAAATCCCATAAACTAAAAATGAGCAGATATTAAACCTATGTCCACACTAGGAATGCTTTAGAAATATAAAAGAATAGTAGCATGCTATAATGCCAAAGTTCATTATGGATGCAACTGTATTGAAAAGCTCTACTTTCAAACCATGCAGGAAATCCATTTCCTCTGAATAAAACAAGCTGTTACTGTCAGGTTTTGCTAGAGTGTTGCTGTACATATATCTAATGCCACAAAGGATAAAACATTGTTTAAACCCTCAGTTAAGCATGTCCAGAGTTTGTTCTCTCGTTTTGTCTGACTTGCTATCACAACATTGTTGAAATTGATTAAAGATACATTATGAAAATAGAAGCATTTGAAATGTCAAGAATTAATAGCTGAATAACATTTTTCTTTTGTTCTTATTTCCTGTAGTGGTAGACAGGGAACTCTCCTTGTCTTTTGGATGTCAACTTTAACTATTCTTTTTAATGAAGAGAGAAAAAGTTATGAGAAATTATCTGGAACCATGCATGTTATTGCTGTTATGGGCAATCATCTACTTCGTCTAAAGTGAAATGAGATAAACAAACATCAGGGAAAAATACAGAAATACCAGTGACAGAGAATGTGATGTTGTCTACAGTGCTAATTTTCACTTGCACTCTCCTGTGTAGCAGAACAAGAATATGTTATATGGTCTTCTCAGCCACTTCAGGACCTGACAAACTTATACTTTTGTATGGTTTTGTTTTGGCTTCCACTCTGGTTCTAGGATCATAGCAATATCACAAAAGGCAGTGTATTCATCCACAGTTTGTTTAAAAAGATGTCAAATAGAAAGAGAATGGAAAGAAAATAAATAAAATGGGGAAAGGGACTGACATATAAGAAGGGAGAGAGCAACAGACTGAGTGTTCAATGTTTGGCTGCAATTTCTGAAGGTAGCAATAGCTTGTGTTTCTTCTTAACAGAATGAGGACACCACCACCCACAGATGTATCATAGTGGATTACAGGACATCAAGGAATAGCAGTATTGATGGTAAAGCTCTAGTTTTCAGCCCACTGCTTTTACAGATGTACACCGTTTAAGATGCACCAGCAGCCTCATCCCGTGAACAAAAGCAAACAAAAGCCCACTAAGTGGTTTTAGCTGTAACCACCTTCATTTCTGAAACACTGCAGCTCACCGTCTTGCCAAACCATGACTATATCTAAACCCTGTACCCTTCTCGTCATGCCTCTTCCAATAGCAATAATCCTGTCTGCATCATTCAGTTGATTTTAAGCTTTTCTTAAACTGCTTTTATGAAACATTTTATACAAAAGACTGAGTTGAGTCCTCCAAGATTATTTAAGACCTCATACATACAGACATCCTCACATGCTCTCATGCCACACCTCCTGGCAGAAAGGGCATGCCTTTTGAATCACACCGTATAAGCAAGAACAACACTTGTAGGCTGAGGCAGCCTTTTCACTGTCCTGGCCACCTGACTTGTTTGGAGCTGTGAAGGTTGGGGTAATCATATATATCCTAGGACCACTGTATTTTACTGGGGACAAAAAGCCCATGGCCTTGATGGTCCTTTAACATAAGAAAAGTCCTATTGAATCAGGACAATGGTCCATCTGGACCATGCAAATTCAGCTGTCAGTATATGAAGAATTAAAGAAGAAACAATAAAGAATACCTATTTCAATGAAAATGGAACTTCTGTTTAAAAGCGATGGCTAGAAATATGCAATGTTTTAAATTTTACAAAATCAAGACATGCTGCAAAGGAAAACGTTTGTAGAAAAAATGATTAATTAATACATGGCAATGAAAGAGCAGAGAGAATTTTGGTTTTAGGGATACAAAGATTTTTTTTTACTTAAAACATTTAAACCAACTGATCTAATGAATGCATATTTTAAGAACCCAGGAAGGCAATTAAGCATGTACACAAACATTTATCATAGGTAGTCCCATAATGGAAGATACTGTCAACTTACTACTGGCTCTGTTAGTGTCACTGCTCTCAGGAGAGATTTTCAAAAGTATTAAGAGCCACCACCTCCACAAATTTCACGGTCAGTCACTAGAATACATCCATTTTGGAGTTTCTAACTCTGAAACCAACTGTTCATTAGTTGATGCTTTTTCTGTTCTAAAGGTTTGAAGATAAAATCCTCAATAATATGAGCAACAAGAATAAACATGACTTGTGAAAAAAGCTTCTAGGAAAAGATGACATCAATATAAATAGGAAATTATATCAAGGGAAAGCACACTAAAACTATAGCAGTAATGGAGAAAAAGTTGCATCAGCTGTAGAATTAGAAAACACACTGTCAAAGGGTATCTGTTTGATGGAACTAGTGACATGAAGTGGAGGAAAATATTAACACATTAGTCATAGAATGATACTGGATGAAGCAATGGGGCTTAGGAGAGCTATGTGAATAAATTGCTGAGACAAAATGCCACAATATCCAGGACTAATTTAAATTTAAAAAAAAAAAGAGAGGCTAAAAGGATGTCCCAGATTATGAAGACTTTCTTTGCATTCTGGGTTTTATAAAATAAAGTGCTAATAGTGTCCAAAGAGGAGACAATGATGCATTTTTTAATGATATTAATGGAAGCTAAAATTAGGGACTTCTATCAGTGTGTAACCTTGACATACAGTACAGTATTTCTAATCCTGCAACTCCTTGATATCAAGAGTTGAGTCTTCCCAATGCTCATGGTGGAAACTAGCAAAAAAATCCCGAGTGGTGTTTTTTTCCTTATTCATGGCTGGCCAATTAACGAAAATAGTTATAAATAAACTGCTGAGTTTAACATTGTTCAGTGTTACATTTTAACAACCGTAGAGAGAAAGACTTGTTAGATCAGAAGAACTGGAAACAACAAGCACGTGTTTTGTTTTCTTCTCCATAGCTGCTTTATGATGCGATTACAATTACATCAAACTGATGTGAGACTGTAGCTGGTCCTTCCTCCCACTTTTTGTCCCAGCATATTTCTGTCTTCTTCCTCATGCCTAAACTAACACCATAGGGGGATAGGGTCTATGTTACGGCTGACTGTGCAATCAATCAATGAATATCAATGCTGGCAGAAGAAAAACAAAGTGACTGGGGGCAGGAATACTCTGTCTGAAAGCAGCTCAGATCAGCATGTGTGAAATTAGACCCTAGCTGTACAGTGTTAGGCAAATCCCTTTACTTGTAAATGTGTAAATGAAATAAAAAATAACATTTTAGATTAGACAGGATATGGGGTAGGTCACTGGTGTATCAATAAATGTAGATTTAACATGATAGATATGCTAACCAGCCTTCTTTCAGGATAAATATAGGAGTTCTTGAGCTTCTTTGTGGAAAAAATTAAATGGAGGCAACAGAAACGGCATCCAAGGCAATAAATTGCAAGTCTCAATGGAATAATGTTATACGGTCAGATGGTCATTCCTTGAGACTGCCTGCAAATGCAGAACCTTTAAGAGGATTTCTTAATTGAGTTATATGTGCATTAAAGCACAGAGAAAGCCTCTGGAAGAGGAAAAAAAATCCCACACATGGCTCTGAGAGGGAGCAGAGTGACAGCACTCCCACGGCACAGCACAAGCTGGAAAGGCAGACTGGATTTCAAAGCAAGAAAATGCCTTCTGCTGTTTGGTCCTACTGTATTCAGGAAGACAAAAATGTTGTGTGTATTCTTTATAAATAAGGAAGATGCCATAAAAAAGCCCCACATCTGAACTGCCAATTTCTCCTCCAAATAGAAACAACCCATCAATACTTTGAATATGGTCTTATCATTAGACCTGCAAGTCAACAACAAGATGCAGTTGAGCTTCCAAGATATTTTGAGAAAATTAAATGTCTGAAAAATTACTATTTCACAGAAATGAAAACAAATTTTTAACAATTACCATTGTAGCTAATAAAAATGAAAAATAAATTCAAAAGCTTTAAAGACACAACAGACAACTAATTTGGACTTCTACTATGTGCTTGCTGTTATTATTAAGGATGAGTAAACAATAAAAAAACACAGATGGAGTCTATTAAGTATCTCAGTACAACAGAAAAAATGATCACACCATGGGTTCGTATGCTCAAGAATATGCTGGCCAAAGGCTGATATCGTAACATCTGCTGAATATATAACAATCTCAGTAGGAATTCAGTTCTTATATTTAGAGTGCAAATGATTGGCTTTGTCATGCAGAGCATTAATATTGATTGCTTAAGCACTCCAGACCTTGCCAGTCAGCAAGCTGGCTGATGTGCTAAGCTATTAGCTTTAAAAGCAATACTCACTGTGAAGACTTTCTCAGGCTGACTACGAGCTCGCATGTTTGTGTCATGAATTTGCTTGAGTATCATCCAAGCTTCATCATGTTTTCCAACCTAAACATTTGATCAAATAATTTAAACAAAACATATATTCAGATTAAGATATTCTATAGTCACTGAACAATCTTAATGCCTGTTATACAGATGTTGTGATGTAAACACAGAAATAATTTTGACTGGAATTTAAAAACCATTTTGAAAGTTATACCTCCAGCAAGAACCGTGGACTTTCTGGCATAAAGGTGAGAGCTACCACAGAAGAGACACAGGGCAGTGCACAGATGATCACAAATACTCGCCAGCTGTGAAACTGGTAGGCAGAGCCCATGCTGAAACTCCATCCTATGAAAGAAGAAATTCACAAAATATAGAGAAATAAGGACTATTGTATGTGGGAGTCTGCAGCTTTTTGGAGATGCAAAACGATACCTGTATCTAAATGATGCCTGATAGATCTCTTCTATTTCCACAAATATCAATGATTTCACAAATAATCTTACATTATGAATTTCAGCCTCTTGCATGTGACTCATCATGCTGGAAAATGGCCATATAATGCAGGTTGGGAGACTTCCTTACACAGAGATGAAGAAGCCTCTTTCAAGCCTTTTGGCAAAATCTGCATGAAGGTAGTTACGTGAAAACAGGGACACCATCATCATACATAAGACTATACATACAAAGAAAAAGTTTTGTATGAATACTGGAAGAAGGGAGAATTAACAATCTACACTCAGATGATATATTTTATGGAATTTTATGACCTCTGAGAATGCTGCATCTGTGTGTCTATTAAAGTAAAGGCTTTAAAAAAAAAATCCATCAATCTATTAGCTTTCACCAACACTGACAAAATCGAAACCTAATTGGCTTCTTCAAGTCTTCCTCTTAGAAGCTATTCAAAGTAGTAATGAGTATTGGGTGTTGAATTCTCATAGAAAATCATTAGCAATCAATAAGAAAGGAAGAAACAGTAAAAATATGAGAAAAGCATTCAAACAGTACAGTTAAGTCTACAGACTGCTAGAAACGGAAATGCTAAAAACAAAGTACTCAAAATCTCTATGCTCTTGGACCTTCTTCAAATAAGCAGGCATCTTGTAACTCAGCACTAAAGCATGGGGATATGGTTTACATCTGATCTAATTTTCTTTCAATTTTTTTTTTTGGTTGAGTTGTTTCTGAATTAGTGTTTCCCTTCCATTGGTAGCATGGATGGTTGAGGCCAATCTATATATTTGATTACAAAATATGACAACTGGAATTTTAAGGTTTGCAATTCTGTCATTATTATTAACAAAGAGTTAATTTCAATACTCTTAATAAGTCTCCTAATGTAATACAGTGCAACACATAAAGCATTTACAGTGCCCAACTTTGGTTTCCATCTTCTTCCAGAGCACTATACCACTCCTTCAATTCTGTTAAAAGTAGACCGACAGCCGTCCCCCTGCTCCATAACTAGATGCTCAGGAAAAAATATTCAGTATTTAAACTTATATCTTAGATGGACAACCTTAACACTGAAGTAGAGAGAGAATTATAATTATATAAAGAGGTTAAGAAAAAAGTACTACAGGAAAAAACCTCTCCTCATCCAAAAAATTTTTCTTGAGATATATCTGAGTGCTGACTAATAACATGAAGTAGAAGCCATTGTTAAAATATACTGAGAAGAACGTAAAAGGAAATACTGGAAAACCTGCATGTGAAACTGCAGGGCTGGTAGTTCAGCTTTTTAATAAAATATCTGATTGGGTGGTATATTATGACTGGACTATTGAAATGCTAGAATTTTAAGAACTTTAAGAATTTCTCTTAAGAAAGAGAAAAATATGATTTGGGTAGCTACCTGACCTTTTAGTCTGGCTTCAATACAGCAGAATCTTTCAAGTAAAATTTTCAAGGAAAACTTATTAAAAGCAGAGTGGAAGATAAGAATAATGATAAATGACAGAAGTGGTTACTGGAAGAAAATGGAATCCTGGCTAATGAAAGAGCTGACATTGGATTCATCTGATATATTTCTTTGCTAACTGATTTTTCTAGACAAAAGACATGGTAAATTAAATCTGTCTGGATGTCAGTAAACAACTGGTACAACATGGTTTTGTAATTTAAAGATCTCATGCTATGGATCATAAATACATTCTTAGAAAACAAAAATCCTTTCTCTTATCAAAGTACTTACATGCTACAATATGAAAAAATACAGTCATTTGCCCTTTATCAACAGCTCGGTGAAACATTTTGATCTGCAGACTTTTATAAGTAAGGCTCCAGATAAACATACCTCTCCCCTCCAAAGTTCCCTCCAACAGAAGGAAGCTGTCCAAAGAAGCTGTCTAAAATGTCATGTTAAATTTTATTCCAAAATAGAACTTGGAATGAAAATTTAAGATTTAAAAAAAAACCAAACAGAAAAGGATGTAAAAGTGTATTAAAAATTTGCTTTTACTGACTTTTGGAAAATGTTAACTTTTAATCTTATGGAATTCCAAATCTTAAATAATATGGGCATACTTTTCATCTAAATTGGGAAGGGAAGGAAATAAAGAAGGAAAGGTTTACAGTGAGTTAATGAGGCAATTAGAAACCATACCTATGTTTTGGGTATTGTGTACGCATTCTATTATAATCATTAGAATTATACTCTTCATTATATATTTTAAACTATAGTACAAAATCACCTGGTATAGAACTTGCAAAATTATTTCCTTTTAGTTAGATTAATTTTCGATCAGAGCAGTGAGCTCATCTGACTTGCTGGGCAGTGGTGCAACTGCTAGTGTCATGGGAAAGGAGGCACAGGACTGGGGTTTTCATCTCTCAGAACAGTACGATCAAGGTACTGGCTCTTGTTGTCATTAGAAACTGTCCCAGAAATACAC